GGTGGAGACGATGGTGGTGGCCATGGCGGTGGTGGTGGCGATGGTGGCGAAGGTGGTGGTGGTGGCGGCGGAGGTGGTGGCGGCGGCAATGGTGGTAGAGGTAATGGTGAGACGGTTTCAAACACTATTTTAAAAAAATATATATTTATGAGAAATAATTTATAGAAGTATTTTTAAAAAGTCACTCTAAACACACTCTTAGGGGTCTATTTTTCCTATTAAATTTAAAGTGTTAATATTAGCCGTTAGATTAATTTTAAAATAAAATTTAAAGCGATCTCAACCGCGAATAGTAAAAGTCATTTTGCTTATCTTTTATATATGTGAGGAAAAATAATTAGTCTTACTCTATATATGGATATAAGTAAATAACAGAGAGAGATAATTTTAATGTTTATCAAACTCTTAAAATTTATAAGTTATTAATTTTCAAATTTGTTGTAATTAAAAATAACTAATGAGAGTCTTTTAGACAATAAAAATCAAAATAGAGTTAATATTAAATAAATTTTTTTGATGAACTTATTATGAAATTAGTCCACAAAAAGAAAGCGGCCTCGAAATTTCCCTAAAATCAAACCCACATATATTAGCTTCATGAAGTCTGTGGGGTTGGTAAATAACTGCCCAATAGATTTATTAATGAAAATACAAGTTCATACCTAAAGGATGTCTCGTCTATAGAGTTGTCTACGGTATCAAAAAAAAAAAATGAAAATATTTATTATTTTTTTAGTGTTTTTCTCACACTTATGAATATTTTTACCACCGTTACAGTATTGAAGAAAAATGATAAAAATAATTATTATAATAGTGAAAAAATGTTTACAAACAGTGATAAAATACCCACCAAAATAATAATTTCTTTATACCAAAAAAAATGGTAAAAATTATTGTCATAACAATGGTAAAAATACCAACAACAATAATAAAAATACCCACAAAAAAATGATAAATCACTCACAAAAGTGATAAATTTGTTTGTTGTAAAATAATCCACAAAAGTTGTAAAAAACAACTAAATTTATCAATATGATACCAATTTTTTTTTTCAGTACCATAATCAAATCCCTCCGTCACGGAGTCAAAGCCAAATAGACCCAATCAATTTACCGAAAGAATCATAAATAATCTACTATTCTGTGTTGTGCCCAATGCTTGAAGACTCTGACGATAAACTATGGATGTTATGGTTTCTTTCTCCTTTCTTTCTTACCAAACAAAGTTTGAAACAATTCAAAATGACTCCATTTTAACTCAGCAAGGAAGAAATTTATAAACCCATCTTTGTGTACAAAAGATATACGACGTACAATCAAGCAGCAAGGAAACCCTCACAAGTAACTAAAATTCACAATAGCAGAATATCATATTAAAACATACGATCCCGACTTCTCTGATAAAAGAATATGGCTTCATCTAATGAACATAGATTCTATGATGCACAAAGCAGCAGATTATGTCGTATTATCCGTTTGAATGAAGTCGGGACATCAATTATGCATGGTCTATTTGCATTTTGCACTGTTCCAGTTTGTTCCCCAGGATCATGCTTCAGCTGAAGAAAAGATGATTTCCACCAGCCAAAATTTAGAACCTAGGAAGCTTAAGTTGAGAATAAGATATAAGCAAGGCCAAAGCAGTCCACAGTGTCATCGAACTCAAGTAAGATTCACATGATAGCAAGTGGGATTGCAAGGATAAGGGCAATCAATTTGTTTTGCTGCTTTCCGGTTGAAGTACCAATCACCTACAGACTCTGCAATCGACTGTTCAACGAGAAATGATAGAGTCACTTCACTAAATCAAACTCAACAACAATTAATCAAGACATGTCAAAAGAGAAAATTCTAGTGCAATGATGCTATAGTTGATTGTGTTCAAATCTCAGTGGTTACCACCACTAGTCAGAATGGTTCAATTGCCATAGCTCTGAGATTAATAAACGGCTGTCATTGAACAGGGCAGCATAATGTTTTCCCTTCAGTGCAATCATATTTAAGCCAAAGGACTGATATATTAACCACTTACTCAGGAAAAAAGATTTGAAACCTTATCAGAACTACATGCCACAGGATAATTGACAAAACTTACTTTACTGTTGATTCTTGGAGAACTGGGAGAATGCCATGTCTCAGCCATCCATGTCTGGCAATGAACGAAGCAAGAATTTACAAACATTCCCCCTTCCTTGTTTTGCTGAAACTCACTCAGTGTCTTGAGCAATTTACTTCGGAAACCTAAGCATGACAACTTTGACAAATTAATCAGGCTATTATACGTGTAAAGTTTTTAACAGATTGAAGGCTACTTGAATAGATCATGTTGATATTGGAATATTAGTATCCGGAAAGTTTTAATCATATTCTAGAAAGGAGTCTATGAAAGATTCTTCCTCATAGACAGACTCCTACTCAGGCAAAGATTCATATTATCTAACCAAGCATCTCTGAATCCCTGGAAATATATGCATGATTGTCCAATGGCAATGATGACATCTTGTAGCTGTAAATCATTCTGCCCTATAAGTCCAATCAAAATCTATAGGTTGCATTGCCATGGGCCCATGATCATTCACTCCCTCAAGTTTTCACCAATAAAATTACTGACAGTGCTTCTGAAGGAAATAAGGAATCTTCCTCTTATGCACTTGCCCACATGTCATACACCAAATCTAGCAACCATCGGTTAAACTTGCACTGTTAGAAGATCCATATCCCATCACCTTGTAGCACTTCAATCTGGCTGGGATTGCAATTATGAATATTCAGCTTGCACTTGAACCAGCTGCCATGAGGATCTGATGCATCTGGTACTAAGATGTTTCGAATCTGAAAAAGACCATTCGACCAATATAAGAGAATGCATATGATCCTTCGAAATGAACATATCTAGACTAGCACGTGAATCATGTCACCGAAGGAAAAGTTACCTGCCAAAAATCATAAGCTGGTTGGACAAGGAAAATTGGGGTCTTTATGTGTTTTATAAATTCTTGAGGAAAGAAACACTGACATTAAATTACAGATCTGCACGTTAGAGCGATCAAACTTGAGCAATGAAAATGGAAAGCCACGAAGAAATAGGTAAATAAGAAACCACCATAGAAGGTTCCACTCCAGCAATACAATTCTCGTCCAAACTTTTGGCTACGCCCTGGCACCATGAGAGGTAAGCATGGAAAATTAAAAATGACCCAATAGAATAGAATTTAAATCATCAGCATAAAACAAAAAGGAATATAAAATAAATGTAAGTTAAACTGATGATCAATTGCACAAAAAAAATGGGTAACAACAATCACAGCTTCATGGTGACTTGACCAGGCTATTGTTTTAAGTCATCCATCATTTGTTTATAGATAATCTTATAATTGGCAGTCAATGCTTTATTCTTTGTTCCTTTGAAGGTAAGATTGTTTGCTCCAGAGTGAATGTTTGGCAATCCATTGGGATATCACAAATCACTAACTGTTGCATAAACTACCATGTAAGACGTCTTGAAAGAAA